CAGTGACAGCGGGAGGAAAGCAGACTGCAGCCAGGCGGCTATGCTGGGGACCGCAGGCGGGAGAGGGCCTCGGGAGGGGTCATCCAGGCCTGATGGAAAATAAACTGCCCCATAAACGCAGGGCCACGACGTGCCTTTCAGTGCATCTGAGCACTTTCCACGTGTTTTTCAGTTAGGCAGGGCTTTTTCAAATTGCACGTGGGCAATGCATTGCTGGGACTGTACAGGTTGGGAAAGCAAAGCAACCACGGCCTTGGGTCAGGCTGGTGGCCCCATTTCCATCCCTCGATTTGGATGAATGCTGAATATTAAACTGGCCTGCTGGACAAAGCAGGGCTCACAGGGGCCCACTTACAAATTCTGTTTCGCAGCCAGAGCTCGGGGGCTGCCCCACGTTTTGCTGACTTCAAGTCAGCGTCCGTTTTTGGTTTTTAGCTGCTTACGAGAGCTACACGGATTGCTCTGGGGGAACTGGGGTGGTTTGCTTGTCACGAATCCTATACCACATTCAGCCAGCGATGGCTCTGTGCACCACCCGCTATCACAGTCCTCGGGAGGCCCTTTGGCTTTTCTTGTGCCTTAGGGCTTCCAACTGGACAAACTGAGCCAAAAGGCCTGGCCAGGAGGTTCTCTGTAACATCGGCCTCTTTCTTTTTGGGAGTGGGTAGCTGTCGTCTTTCTGGTGTCATCAACCAGGGAAATGAGAATGTGAGACAGTTCTGTAGAGAACAAATGGGAGCCTCTGAACGTCAGCTGATGACACACAATATGGGGGAGAAAACACAGTACCAAAGAAATAAGCTGATTGTGCACAGCTGTTCCGCAGAACTATTAGGGAAGAAATTCAGGTGGGTAGGCAGGTGGCTTTTGGGAACCTGTGACGATGTTTCTCATCTGACAGTTTCACCTGCCTCTTGTGATCCCGTCACTACAGCAGGGAGGAGCACCCAAGATTTTCTCTGGGGTTCTGAGGTCCCCCCCAAGTCAATCCTTGTCTAGAGTGGAGGGATCCTAGGTGAGGGGCCTCAGACCCCCAGGCTGCATGGCGGTGCTACTGGACGCCCACAGCTCCAGACTTTACACCCAATGCCTCCAAGGGCCTCCCACTGGCTCACCCCCGCTTCCTGGTCCATGGCCTGAAGGACCGTGTCTGTACTTCCCTAGGGGCCGCGGCTCTGAGTGCCCACCCATGCACCCCAGGCCACTTCCTGGCCCCTCTCCCCACCTGGTATCCTTAATTCACTTCAGTGTGGCACTTTCTCTGGGCACATATTCTATCCCTTTAGTAAGCCCCTGTAAGCAGCCACACAGAAGGCTGAGCTGAGGCAGCAGCTCTCCCATGTTCACACGGTGGTCACTGCACCACATGCACTGTTCATGGCCTCGCCAACCACACACGTCCACCGTCGACGGCCCTGACGACCACACACGGTCACCACACCACGTCCACCGTCGACGGCCCTGACGACCACGCACGGTCACCGCACCACGTCCACCGTCGACGGCCCTGACGACCACGCACGGTCACCGCAC